TGGCTGATTTTCCGGAATAACTGGCCAGTGTAGACACAGCCCTTCTGTTTAGTTTTACATAGAAAACTGGACTTCCCACTTCTTTCCGCCAACCAGATCTGAGCTCTGCCAGATCTGTGCCAAGTAGCCACAGAGCAGAGTGATAACTGGGTGCCACGTGGCCATAGGTATGTTACAGTGCAGAACAGTTCACCCAGTGCAGGGAACACCGCTTGGCTCCCTGTGTTATGTCAACCTTTTTGATCCTGGGGGCAGAGTGGGAGCTGTGCACGCTTGCCTCCTCGCCCAGAGAAGCCCCACGGAGCATTTTCCCTTCTCCCAGATTTACTCTCCAGCAGCACTGGCATCAACATGCCCTGCCCCTGTTTTAGCCAAGAGGGTGGATCTGGTTGTCCTTGATGGATCAATAATGACCAAGCCAGGATTCCTTCGCTGCTGCTTCCCAGGATCCAGCTCTGCCAGGGCTCCTTTCTTCAGCTCTGCTCTCTGCTGGGCTCTCTGGTGCAGAAGAGATCCCTCACCATGGTGATAGTGGAATGACTGAGACTCAGTTGCCCCCAAATTTACATGGATGATTAATCCACTGAAAAAACCCAGACGGCTGGGCATGCACTCAGTCAAGGTTGGGCTAGCATCTGTGGAGAGGAAGCTTAGTCGGTAACACAATTCTTTAGTCGGTAAAATTCCGGCTCAATCTCCACCAGTCCAATCTCATTCCTTCGCAGTTGGTGCAATTCAAGGAGCAGAAAAAGCCACGCAGCCAGCCACTCAGCTATCACAGGATGAGTTTTGAGAGAAGATCCAGGATAGACAATTTAACACACGCAGGCTACGTCTACACTGCAGATCTGATGTAGTGTCAGTACCTTGCTGGTTGCGGTGCTTGGGCTGTGGATGACCCCTACTGGCCTCTGTCTGTAAGCACTGCCCAGTGGCGGGCACCTTGAGGGCCCTCAAGACAGTAACCGAACCGGTTCGACCGGTTAAGGGAAAGGATGGAGCAAAGGAAGGGAGTGTTGGGGAAAGGGTCAGTTTCTGGCTGGAATCACGAAGGAGACAGACTAAGGAGGGGGGCTGGGAGTCTAAGGGCTGAGGCACCCCATCTCAAGCGCTCTGAGGCATCCTGGTCCAGACTCCTGTAGCCACGTCACATCTCTGCTGTGCTGTATCCTGGAAAAGCAAGAAACCCTCTCTATTCTACTGGCTGGCAGAGTCTGTCCCCTATATCCCACTAACCCCATGTAAAGGGGTCCACCCATTTGTGAGCGCCTCTCTGTGGCTGAGGGGTGTTTGGTAAGCTCTTTGCCTGGCCGTCTGGTACTTCCTTGCTCCTTAAGTCACATCCTGCAGATGCTGCTCTGTCTGGTCGTCACAAGGTTCTGAGGCTAGGATCTCACTAGCCCTGTCCGCGGTGCTATCAGTTCTTGTGTTCAGCTTGTGGCCAGTCTTCAGCCACAGGACCTAGGCCTCACCCTGGTCTAAAGTTCAGTTTACACTGGGAGCTGTCCATAGTGCTGCTGTTCTCCCAGTCAGTAATACAACTACCGGAGTCAAGCTCCTGTGAGGAACTGCCAGGTCCTAGTCCAGCAGCTTCTTTTATACTGGTCTGCTAGGCCCTGATTGGCCGCCACAGAGACAGCCATTCTATCCTACCTGGAGGACCGCTTTTCTGCTCCTCTCACTGGGATGGGGTGTGGCAAGGCCTTTAGCCTCCTGTAGGGGGCATCAGGGCTTAGTCCACCCCATCACACCCCATTACCTCACAAGCCTGTCACCCTAATGTCCACCATATCCTGCTTCCCAACACCCCCTGCCGCCAGCTTCCTTTTGTCAACCACCTCTGTCTTGTCTGCAGCCTGTCCTGCATCTGCTGTCACTACCAGCCTTGGCACGCTGTGTCCCATTGACACCTGACTTAAATTGACAACTTCCCATTTCCCTGGATCCTGCCTCACCACTCCCAGGGTTCCCTGATCCTACCCCACTCCCCCGTGCCCCTTGATTCCACAAACTCCATGACTGCGTGTTGTGCCAAACCCTGATCCTGCCCCACTGACCCTACAACTGCCTGTCCCACTAGCTCTGAGGCCCCCTGACCCTGCTCAGACACCTTCTGATCTGACCCTGAGACAGATGCATGAGCTGAGCCACACCTGGTTCCATAACCACCGACCCACTGCAACCCCTCTCCCTCTTGCTGTTTGACCTCTAACTCCTGCCCTCCCTCAGTCCCAGCCCTCCCCCCTTAACATCTAGCCCCACCACAGCCACCTGCCCCCAGTGCCTAATGCCCTTTGATCCCCCCACCTCTATGCCCCAAGCCTTTTGACCCTTTAAATTCTGACCCCTACAGCTCATGCCAACAACCTTCTGCCCGGTGACCCCACCACACCGTCACCTAACACCCCTTTGCCCTTTGACCCCAACCCTGCACTCCACAGAGCAAGGCTGCTCATCCTAGGGAGCATGGCTGTTGCTGCATGGACAGTGGAAGCGGCTGTTGGTGGCACGCGTGCTCCCTCCTCCTTTGCGCTCCCTTCCTCCCTGAGCACAGCTCCTGCTCCCATGGGTAGAGGCGGGTGGGGAGATCAGTGCTCAGGCTGGGCTGCCATCTTACCTGGATGGGAGGGAGAGGAGGGAGGAAGGTGCCTCCTGCTGCCATCTCAGCCCCAGCGCTGCTGCTGGGCAAAGCCAGCTGGCTTGGCAATGACTTGTGGCCATGCTTCCCCAGCTTCAGCTCTGCCAGCCACTGCAGCCTGACAGCCAACGGTTTGCAGCCTGGTACCGGTCTGTGGACCAGCAGTTGTGAAGTACTGAGGGAAAGCAGTCAAGTAACTCAGTTGGGTGTGTGGTGCCACCTGCTTTGTGCTGGGTGACAACCAGCCCTGGCGAGGCCAGCTGACTCACCAGCGGAGCAGTGTGAGAGAGGACAACCCAGCTGAATTGTTAGGGGGCCAAAGGTCAAAGTAAGCCTGGGCACCCCAGACCCCACCCAAACAACCTACAGGCACACATGTGGCTCTGCGCCCCCATTCATCATTGTGGTATCATTATGATGTGATTATGACACAGTTATGGTGCATCTTGTACAAAATGTGTCATGTGAGATGTCCATGGCAAAGTTATGATCTGTGCGCCATAATAATCCCATTTGAACACATGAATTGTTTTTTTTATATGGAGTTGTACATATTAACTATGAACCCATATTTCTAATGTGGGTACACCTGAGTGACACTGACTAGGTCAAAGAATATGAACTGGTGACCAGTCAGGACCCGCGGAAGGATCTGACATAGATTAAAACCTGTCAGTTGTCTGTGGGTCTGGCGCAGTAGCTAAGGGCTGGGTGTTTGTAACAAGAGCAGTGCCTGATCCTGACTGGAGCTGATGAAGTTGATAAATGCAAAGCAACGCACATTGGAAAACAAAATCTCAACCACACGTATAACATGACAGGGACTAAATTAGCTATTACCGCTCAAGAGAGAGATCTTGGAGTCAATGTGGATAGCTCTCAGAAAACTTCCGCTATGGCTACGTCTAGACTGGCAAGATTAAGCACAAATACTCTAAACACAAGAGTTTTTGCGTTAGAGTATTTGAGTAAGAGAGCATCTATACTGGCATGTTCCTTTGCGCAAAAGATGTGCTTCTGCGCAAAAGCATCTGTGCCAGTGTAGACGCTCTCTCGTGGAACGCAGCTGGGTGCCTCGTGGAATGAGGTGTACAGATAGTTCGGAACGGCTTGCTAGTCCGAACTATCTAGCCCGTGCCGCGTGTAGCCGTGCGGCACGGGGTTCGAACAAGCCGGCATTTAAAAATGGCGCCGGCCGGCTTATGCAAATAAAGCCCGGGAAATTCAAATCCCGGGCTTCATTTGCACGTTCGGTATGCATACATTACCCCGCTAGTTCGCACTAGCGGGGTAGTGTAGACATACCCTTGCGCAAGAAAGCTCCAATGGCCATTTTAGCCATCGGGCTATCTTGCGCAAGAAATTGATGTTACCTGTCTACACTGGCCTCTTGCGCAAGAACACTTGCACAAGAACACTTATCCCTGAGTGAGAGCATCAGAATATTTGCACAAGAAGCACTGATTTCATACAGTAGAACGTGAGTGTTCCTGCGCAAATACTTGCGGCCAGTGTAGACAGGCGGCAAGATTTTGCACAAAAGCGGCCGCTTTTGTGCTAAATCTTGCCAATGTAGACACAGCCTCAGTGTGCAGCAGCACTCAGAAGAGCAAACAGAACGTTAGGAATAGTTCAGAAAGTCATAGAGAATAAGAGAGAATATTTTATTGCTTCTATATAAATCCATGGTATGCCCGCCTCTTGAATACTGCATATAGATGTGTTTGCCTCATCTTGAAAAGATATTTTGACATTGGAAAAAGGTCAGAAAAGGGCAACAATAAAGATTAGGGATATGGAACAGTGCCATGTGAGGAGAGATTAATAAGACTGGGATTTTTTTTAGTTTGGAAAAGAGATGAGATATTAGAGGTCTATAAAATCATGACTGATGTGGGAAAATGAATAAAGAAAAGTTATTTACTTCTTCCTGTAACACAAGAACTAAGGGTCACCACCTGGAACTAATAGGTTGCAAGTTTAAAACAAAGAAAAGGAAGTATTTCTTCACACAAAGCACCAGCAGCCTGTGGAACTCCTTCCTAGAGAAGATTGTGAAGGCGAAAATGATAACAGGGTTCAAAATTCGTGGTGGATAGGGCCTCAATGGCTCTTATCCAGGGTGTCCCTAGCTTCTGTTTGTCGGAAACTGGGAATGGGCAACAGAAGATGGATCACTTCATGATTCCCTGTTCTGTTCATTCACTCTGGAGCACCTAGCACTGACCACTGTCCTAAGACAGGATCCTGGGCTTGGTGCAACTTTTGACAAACCCCGTATGGACGTTCTTATGTTCCTATGTGCTGGGAATTGCGCTGGCCTTTCTGGGCCACATGGGGGCAAATCAAACCAAGACTCCTGCCCACTTCAATTTCTTTATTTGCTACACAGATGTTCAAGCTGAGGCCATAAGTCACCTGCCAGGGAGCAGCTCTGGCTGGAAGGAAGCAGCGTCCTTCACTGGGGCACGTCGGCCTTTCCAGACTTAGCGGTAGAAGAGCAGCACTGCGGATTCAAGCATCTCCTTAGATACGCTATAGCCCTGATGGGTTCCGTAGCCGTCCCAGGCAAAGGCAGTGAAATCGCCGCACTGCACTGGGTTCCCTTCTGGGAAGAACCCTCCTCCACCTATGCAGTACTGGGGAGAGAAAAGAGGAATTGCCAGGCAGGAGAAGAACAGGGACCCATCTAGACATTCCCCTGTCTCCGGGCCAGTGCCAGCTACTTCAGAGGAAGGCAAAAGAAACCCTGCAATGTCCAGTTGGCTAATGATCTATCCACAGAGAAAGTTACTTCCTGACCCCCCACAGATCATGCCCTGAAGCATGAGAGTTTCAGTCCCTTCCTAACTCTTGGGACCAGAATCTCTATTGCCCTGGCCCTTGTACAGTCACTTATCCTCATGTCAACTGTTCCCAGATGCCAACATTTGCCACCCCCTTTGCAGTGGTGTAAACGTCTGCACAAGGGGCAAGGTAGGTTTAGGCCACTGCTTTTGTTATTTTTATGTATTGTTTGCATTGCAGTACCGATTCGGAGCCCCAGGGCTGGACAGACCCTCTGGTGCTAGGTGCTGTACAGACCAAGGATAGAAATATAACCTGTGCCCCAGGAGCTCACAAGTTAACCCTTATCACAGGAGTTTGGGGATAACCTGCACTGGGAAGGTTGGCTGGGGTCAGAATGCCTGATGCGGGAATCCCTGAGGGATGTTCCTTGGAATGTGCTATGCAGGAGGTCAGATCATAAGATCCATTATACTGGCCATTCCAGCCTTTACACCAGAGACAGAGCTGAAGGGGAAGGGGCCGGTGGTGCAGTGCCTGTCTCTTGCATATCACGCCCTAGGACAAACACTGAGTTTTGAGCTGGGGAGGCCACATGGCCTGGGGGACGCAGCACTAGACTGGGACGCTGGTGATCTGGTGTCTATTTCTGGTGCTGCTGCTTTGTACCTCAGTTTCCTCTTCTGTAAAATGGGGGTGATGGTATGGACTCCTCAGTACAGACCTTAAGATTTGATGAAGAAACCCATACCAGAGCTAGGGATTGTTATTGCAAAAGCCATCACCCAGAGCACCAAGGACCTCTCTGGTTCCAGACCTGACCGTGAGTGGGTTTGATTCACTCCCAGCTCCCCATTTACACGTTGAAAGGTTTTTCAGTTGGACAAAATGCCCGGAGCATTTTCTGACAACAGAGCTCCTCTTCCCACCCACCATGGCCCCCAAAGCAGATGTAACATCCACCCCCTTGGCCTGTTCTGGGGGATAGTTGCCCCCAAGGGCACAGCTCTCCCTGCTGGCATAAGGGGCACAAACTGAACCCAGCCTGCACCAGTGCAGAGCTAAAAGTGTCCTTGTGCAGTTGGCTCTGACAGTGACACTTGGCAGCCCCAAGGTTGATCCGCTGGCCCTTGCTCTACAGCTAACCCCACGCCGGCCAGATACTCACATGTTCGGTGTTACAGCCTGTGACTTTAATCCCCGAACACAGAGCCATGGCCGCCTTCTCATGATTAAACACGCGGAACTGAACATGGCCGGCAACAAATTCACCTAGTGACAGAAAAGGGGAGGTCAGGATGGTAGTTTGCCATGGAGAGGTGGAGAGAAGAGACAGAGCTCCAATCCCAGCCAGGCCCCTTCATTAACCATCTTTTTGTGAACTGGGACTGACCAGGAAACAGGGATGATGGACTTCAGTCCCAGAAATGATCGGGAATTGCGAGTTTCAGCCAGGCTGTTCACAGCTCTGTCACTTGCACAGGATCTTTGACCTTCCTAAGAGCTGTTCTGCATGCAGTTGCCATGTAGAATGTCAAAGTGGGGAACACACACTGTGCTCTCTCCTGGGGATTTCTCATTTGCTCTCTCCTTTCAGGCTATGTCTACACTACGTTTTTGTTTGTTTGTTTGTTTGTTTGTTTGTTTGTTTTGCGGAAGAGGCAATGCAAATGTAGCATTCATTAGCATTTTCTCACGCTTCATTTGCATAATCTCTTCTGCTCCGTTTTGAGGAAGAGGTTTTTGTGCAAAAAAAAAAAACAAAAAACAAAAAAAAGCAGTGTAGACAGGTCCGTTTTGCGCAAAAATCCCAGAAAAAAACTGGTGTGGTTTAATTATTAATCAATTTAAGTTATTAACCAATCAGAATGCTTTTACTGTACTGTTAACCAATGAATGTATCAGCTGGCACTAAGCTATTAACTTTATTTGTGTGAGGATAATTACAGGTTGCACCTCTAAAATTTAGGATTCTTTTGTCCAGTCACATCTGTGGTCCGGCATGACCTCGGATGTTCCAGGACCATTGAGTCCCTGCGTACTGCAGGAGGTGGGGGCATGGGAGCAGGCGTGCGGCTCAGCTGGACTGCAGGAGCTGGTGCGTGGTTCTTCTAGGCTGCAGATGGGGGGGCAGGAAGCTGGCACGTGGCTCAGCTGGGCTGTGGGGAGAGCCAGGAATCAGGGAGTGGGACGGCGAGGGATAGGGGCAGTAAAAATAACTTCCCCTAGTCCAGAAAAATCCTTCATCCCGAGGGTGCCCGACCAGGGAGGTCCACCCTGTGTTAATATTCCCCCGTCATACTGTTTAAATATGACTAGTACTGCAGTAAATGAAACAATGAATTCACACTCCTGTGGCTCCTTTGGGCAATGCTCATTGCTATTCTAGTTTCTGGACCACGAGCTCCGAGTATCATTGCGCTAAAAGGAAGGTCATTCAGACTGGAATGCCAGGCCCAGGGCTTAAATTCCAAGGGAGCTGTCCAGATCAGAGCCCTGGTAAATATTTTCAATATCCCTGGAATTTTTATGGAGTGTTGGAGGCAGGGTGATGGCGGAGCTCCCGGAAATTCTCTTATGAGAATTGAAATCCTGGGCAAGGCTGATCTGTGTGGGTGGGGAGGCAGAACACGCACAGTCGCTACCAGACTTACTTTGGGTACTTGGTGAGTAGTACTTGGCTGTTTGCTGGGCATCACCGTGGTCATAGACGATGGGCACGAAGGGGCCATTGTTGGTTTTGCAGCTGCCGGCGCCATATTTCACGGGGTATTTCTGGAAGACACAAGCACAGCGAGCAGCCAGGGTTAGTTTCTGTCCCTGCGACAGGGCAGCTCCAGCACAGACAGGGCAGCGTGGACTAACACAGCTGGCTGGGTGGTTTCTTCAGTCAGTACCACTTCCTGTGCCAGCCAGTGCTAGGGCACAAGAGAATCTGGCATGTCAAGGTGCCACTTGGGCTGGATTTATCACAGACTGTTTGGGGCAGAGGTGCCCCTGGGCCGGAAAGAGTTAAGTAACTTGCAAGAAAATCCAGGTTCAACCTTTAAAGGTACATTAGAAACATATATAACTGGTACTTGGAGCTATTCCTTATGGATAGCTAATGTCAGGGAAACAAGAGCTTTAAAGTAAAAACCTGCACCGTTAGGCTACGTCTACACGGCACACTTACTTCAAAATAGTTCATGTTATTTCAAAATAACAGCGTGTGAGTCTACACAGCAAGCCTGTCATTTCAAAATAATTGCAAAATAACAGGCTTCTTCCTGACTTCTGTAACCCTGATTTCACGAGGAGTAAGATAAGTCAACGGAAGGATGTTCTTCCTTCCACTTCCTGCTGTGTGGACAGTGCCAAACGTCAAGTTAAGCTACTTTGACTTCAGCTATGTAATTAACGTACCTGAAGTTAAGTATCACAGGGGTAGCTGTGTTAGTCTGGATCTGCAAAAGTGATGAGGAGTCCTGTGGCACCTTACAGCCTAACAGATTTATTGGAGCATAAGCCTTTGTGGGAAAAGACCCACTTCGTCAGACGCATATACCTCGCGTCTTCTTGCGTACCTTATTCTGAGCTTCAGGTGCAGTGTAGATGCACCAGGAGGTTCCCAGACTGCAATAAAAGGAACTTGAGGGCCCTGATGCTGATCTCAGATCTGTTTAAGTTTCAACAGGAGACGTTTGAGTCTCAGCCTCCAGTTTGGATATTCCTGATATTGGACGGTAGCAGGGGTGGGCAAAGGGGCCTCTGCAGGCTGGATCTGGCCCTCGGATGCCCTGTCATTCCCCCACCCCTAGGCCAATCAGGGCTTGTGGGTGGAGGTAGTGTGCAAAGTCTCCTCTCCCACCAGGGGCGTGGGTGCCTAAAGGGAACCACCAGCTTTTCAGAACAGCTAGAAGTTCTCTCTAGGTGGGAGGAGAGTGGGGGCAAAGGCTTCATGTGCTCTTCCACACCCAGGCCAATCAGAGTCTGTGGATGGGAGAGCATGGAAGTGGCTTGGCCCTGCCCTTTCCACCCAAGGTCCCACCCCTTCCACTTTAAAAAATTAGTGAAGTGGCAAATTGCATCGCGTATTTCAAGTTAATTTCAAAATTGCTTGTTTTGCAATTTGGCGCTGTCTACACAGCACTTAGAAAGAAATCGCTGTTCTGAAACACCCCTTACTCCTCGTGGAACCATGTTTACAGGAACGTCGGAATAGCGAGCCCATTACAAGCCCAGATTTGGTTTTGAAATTTGGCGCTGTCTACACAGCGCTGGTATCCCGAAACCGTGCTGCAGTGTAGACGTAGCCTGGGGGAATAGTTTTCTCTTCCCTGAGTAACCAGGCAGGGCAGAGGCAGCTGCAGCACAACCAGGAAGAACCTGGGGCCACTTCAGAACTGGCCAAGAGCAGCAGCTAATCAGAACACCTGCAGCCCGTTAAGGACCGGCTGGGGCTAGCTTAAAAGGCTTCCCTTCAGGGAGGGCCAGCAGGCCAAGGACTGGGAGTGACGAGGTGCTGAGGAAGAGCAGAAGGACGTGGTTAGATGCCCTGGTTTGTTACAGAGGCTCTGCTAGCTTCCTCATAAACATGTGATGGATTAAGTCCGTGGTCACCAATCAGTAGATCTCAGGGGCTCTAAGAGTAGCTCTTGAGTCCTCTCTGAACTGCGCACCTGCGCAGTACATTTACATTAGATTTCCTCATGTAATGTAGGCGGGGCTTCAAGGAAGGGGCGGGGCAGTAGATCTTCACCTGTTCTGAGACTTAAAAAGTGATCTTGGGTGTAAAAAGGTTGGAGACCACTGCTCTAGACTTACTTTCACTTTCGAAAAAAGAAATGCAAATTTGGCAATAATTCCTTCCTTCAAAAGTTCCTCTTTCAAAAGAGGGGAAGCAATGCCTTCCCTGAGTCTTAGTGTTCAACCTCTCCCCTGTTCCTATCACTATTCTAACTCTGCACTCACTCTGAAAGGGGCCATGCTGTTTTAATGATGTTTTATTATTAATTGTTATTATTATTATTTTTTGGTTAGTAAGCCCCCTTTCCTCCTTTCCCCTTTTTTTTTTTTTTTTTTTTTTTTCCGAGTGAGTATATATGTGCCCCCTTAACCGGGGCTCAGGTCATACCCACATTCTCCACCACCTGTAACCCTGTGCCCTGGTGGTCACCCCGAGTTCGGGTGACCCTCGTCCTTTCTTAGCTGATCGGGCTCTTGGCCCTCTGGCCGATGGTAGCTCCCGACCGACCGTGCGGGCTGCCGGAGCTCGCCCTGGCTCGCAGACGCCGGGAAGGGGGCTCGGGCCCTCCCTCACTCCGAGCCCCGACCCAGGGCCCTAAGACGGGGACGCTAGTCCCTAGTCAGTGGAGGGGGTTACGTTCCCCCCAACCCCTCCACTCGCGGGGACCACGGCCCCGCCCTGGGTCACTTCTTCCCGGCCGGTTGTTCGGCGCGTTCCCCCCAGCAAGGGGATAGACTCACCCGGAGTCCCTGTCGCGGGGGAGGCTTCAGCCGCCGCGAGTACCGCTTCTCCTTTCCAGGGTCTCCCAACAGACCCGGTTCCTCCGTCCTGCCTCCAGCACTCCCCTCCTCCGGTCCATGGTCCGGGGCCCTTTGAATGTCCCGCTCCCCTCCGGACGCCGGGGCCGGCGTGCTCCCGTGACTCCAGGCCCCGCCCCTCCCCGCGCTCTCCCCGTCGCTCTCGGTGACGTCATCGCCCGGCGCCGGGGAACGCGGCGGGCCGACGGCCGTCTCGGCCGGGACTCCTGTTCCCGGACTCCCCTTCTCAGTGCGGGGCGGCGCGGGCCCTGTGCCTGCCCCGTCACACCCAGGAGAAAAGTACTGGGAGGAGATGGCTGGGGAAGCGGGAAAGCTGCAGCCCTGGTGGTGGAGGAGTTACTACCTGCTGCTGCCATTAGTGTCCGGGAGCTGGAATCCGGAGCAGAGGACGGGGCCAGGTTCCCCCAACCACTACGGAGGCCACCCCTGAAGGGGGAGTCTGGGACGAAAGGGGTTCACCCCAAACCGGATTGGCTGACCACTGATGAGACTGACTCAGTAGCCTCTGAGGCAAACACTTTCTGCCTAGAAGCGCAGGCCCCCGGAGCTCTGTCCCAGCTGCTTTAAGGGAGCTGTATTTCTGGCTTTGGCATAAGCAGTTAGGTATCGGAGCAGCTGTTTTGTTGCTGGTTCGGTGAACTGAAGTATTCAAATGACCACCAGCTTGGGGAATCTTATGCCCCATTCCTCGCAGTTTGTCCTGACTGAGCAATCTCAGCGATGCCCCTAGGAACCCAGTCTCAGCAGGGGGTTCTCTGGGGGCTGCCACGGTGCAGGCAGCACATGCCAATAGGTGAGGATCAGCACTGTGGTCCCCCCACCCTAGCCCTGTGGAGATGCCCCTGCTAGGATGCCTGAATCTCAAAGTTGGAGCTTGAGGGAGGGCCGAGGGTTTGGCTTAGCGCCAATGTTCCCTCCAATTTTTACTCCCCTGGGCGAGTTTTTTCCTTCCACGTGCAGAATAAATTTTTTCCACGTGCACCGAGGCCTGTGTGAATGTGCATCAATCATAGAAATACAAACTGAGCTGTGGGCACTCAGCTAATCAGTGGGGCGGCATTGTAATTTCTCCTGATTGGTGCTAACCAGTGTTCCCTAATCGCTGTGCACCTGTGCGGCCAAAGGCCCTGTGTCCAACGCCCCCACTCATCTTCAGGGTGTGAGGTGTGATCAGTCTCCCTGGACAATTCAGCCCCTCTGTTGAGTCTGCTAGCATGTCATGGGTGGAAATGGGAACACCAGCAAGTAGCTGAGACTGGCCAGCTCATCCCACACCAATGGGCTGCATGGAGGGGAAGGCTCCTTGTCCCATTATCAGCCCCTGAGTCCCCAGCATGGAGGAATTGTAGCGTGTTGAGGATTTACCAGTCCCAGCTGAAGAGCTTGGGACCTGAAGAGCCACCCAGTCCCTCCCACGTATGCCCCTACACCGCCCCCAGCCCAGCACCCTCACCTGGTAGAGTTTAAAGAGGTTCCCTCCTTCTGTGGACAGGAAGCCCGTCTCGGTGTGGTACCGCAGGATGGACTTGCTCTTCCATTCCGCCAGGGCCGCCTTGTTGGTTACGTGCCACACGGACAGGGCCTGGGCTTGCAGGTCATAATAACCAGGGTTCTGAAAAGCAAGGTCCCTGCTGAAATCTCTCGGCCACAGCCTGGGTACTTACCTGGCCACTTCCAACTTCACTTCCAAGGAAGAGAAACACCATCCCATTATACTGGGCGGAGTGGGGGGGCAGGGATGGTAGTGGTGTTGGAAGGCAACAAGACACAGACTTGGTGAGTTGCCCTAGGTCACACAGGGTGACTGTGGCAAGGCAGGGCATAGAATTCAGGGCTGCACTAGCGTCTTGACTGCTGTCCCCTTCTGACCCTCCTCTCGGCTAACCCCCTATTCCAGTGTCCCTCACGTGCCCATTGACCATGGGGATGGGGACCCCACCTTGTAGTCGTCGCTGGTGGCGCCCACCGCGGAGCCGAAGGTGTTGTAATTGGCCCAGTTGCCGTCTCCCTCGGGGTAGTTGGCGTTGCTCCCCTGCTGGCTGGACCAGCGGTCGCCCTCCGTGCACTTCCCGTAGATGTTGTTCTCGTGCACGCTGGCCACCAGGGTCCAGCCGCCCCCATTGGTGGTCATGTCGCAGAAGGTCTGGTAGGTCTCGCCATCCATGGTGCGCAGGGTGTAAATCCCATCTGTGGGGGAGGGGAAAGGAGGGAGAACCAGGCTGGTCAGGCAGGGCCAGGGAAAGGGGAGGGGCCCTCTCAGAGCCACTCTAGTGGCTGCAGCAGGGCACAACCCGGAGTGGCTGGAGCAGGACGGGGCCCTGCACCCGGGGGCAGAGCAGCCAGATTCCCAATGACACTGAAGCCCCCTTGGCAGCAGAGAGCCAGTGTAATCACAGGGACTCCCCCAGGACGGGGCGTCAGGGCCTGAGCCTTTCCACACACAATCTGTGGCACCTTAATGATACCGGGGCTGTTAAAGCACCACAGCCCCCCAGTGCAAACGCAGCTGAGACTGGTTTGAATGGGCCGTGTACTGGGATGGCCATTGCCACAAGGGGAAGGGGACGAGGCTGCCCCTGTCTCAGGCACCTTTGTCCCAGTGTAGCTGGGATCACACTGGGGCTGGATTGGTATCCGTGTGGCAAGGAAACCTTCCCCTGACCCCGCCCAGTGACACCGGGACAGTCGCCGTGCGCAGACCAGGCCTAAGTGCAACCGAGAATCAGGCCGAGGGCAATTTGTACCATGGAAAGGCTCCAGGGCTTGTTTGGATCCCCCTGCCCCTCCTGCTGCCTGTGTCCCCGCCCTGTGTCCCTCTCTGGGCTGCAGCCTGTGGTGACTCGGTCTGGGGGCTGCATGACAAGTGGGACAGAGCCAGGGACAGAATCTGCCACCCACTGGCTGCACCCACATTGCCAAAAGTTCCTTGATATCAGCTAAAGCCACTGGCCTGGGTCCTGTCTGTGCCCTGTATGATGATCCTTCAGCTGAAAGTCATACTGGGGTATGTCAGGACACAGCGGAAGGAAGTTTTCAGAGGTACATGCTAGACAATGGGAGTTGGGCACCTCGTGCCACTTGTGCCTCTGATGTTTTCTGCCAGGATGATCAGCGGGACTCTGGCGAGCTCTTTTCATCCAGCAGCTGCCTGGCCTGGGCCGAAGCAGCAGGGCGCTGGCATAGAGCTGAGGTCTTGTGTTGTTCCTTGAACAGGGTGGTGCCCCCTGCACGTGGCTTAGCAGACAGCAAGCCCCCTGATTCACCCCAGCCAAAGGGCCCCCGCTCATCATCAGTCCCAGCCCTGCTGGAGCCAGATCCTGGGGCTTCCTGGTACCTTGCAGTGACATTCAGCTGGTCTAAGCAGCGATGTTTCCCCCACCCCTCCATCATGTAGCAGAGAGGTGACCTGTCTTGGTTCCCCTTTTCCCTCTGTTATCCTGTGACTGACAGGGCTACAGCCACACTGCATTTAACACAGACGTCAGGGGAGTTGACAAACAGGCTTCCTACAGAGAAAGGAACGGGGTCAATGCCTCCGACCAGCTGTGGCCAAATAAAGTGGGTGGTTCATTTATTCAGGAAGCTGCAGGAAGAGCTTGTTTGCATTCTAAAAATCATTAGTAGGGTGAAGGCAACCTGGTGTCCCCTCCCAGCAGGAAAAGATTAGGGTTCAATGGAAAGGCCTATTGCTCCACACAGAGAGAGTGTGAACCCGAGTTATCCTTCAGCTGAGGAGCCAAGGAAAAGCAATGCCTGGGATTCTGTGGGCATCCTGACACTCGGCAGCCGTTGCCGGGAAAGGAAACGCCTGGAACAAACCCCGTGAAGTTACGTCGCTGCCGTTAGACAGTGAGGCCTCACTCTTGGTTGTTGGGAGCTTTTCTGCCTGCAGCCCTTCGACTGGAATTCACTGTCTGCCTCCCTGGCCTCGCTACAGCAGCCTTGTTTTACTGCTTCTCTAACCCGCCCTGCGCTGCGCCCTGCCTGAGGAGTTTGTTACCTCCAGGCCAGGGAACCTGCTGCTGCTCCTGGCTCCACAATGGAGGTGCAACATATCCGTGTTGGTGACTGTGCAGTGCCAGGGGTGGTGCGCTGCAGGGAGGTGTCTCCGCGGAGCTCAGGGGCTGGAGTGCCTGTCTGGGTGCCTGGCTGAGGAGGTTCGGGCTGAGAGCCCTGAGGAGTTTGCTGGCGAGACAGACAGGCTGGAGCCGGACAGAGTTGTCAGCTGCAGCACAGCTCCCACCTGCGGGGACTGGCAGGGCTCAGTGTCTCACGGCTCCAGGGATGTGATTCCCCACCATGCCCACAGGCAGGCAGGTGCCCCTGCTCCCAGCACAGAGATGCCTGAGCGCATCTGAATCAAACGGCCCCAGCTGTGGCATTTTTCAGTCTGAAGCAGCCCCCCAACAGAAGCAAAGCAGCTTTTGGCAGGTCCGGGGATGCTGCCCCCACACTCACCTCCAGCTCCGTCCTGAGTGGATTTAATTTCCTTGCAGCTCCGGTGCAGACCCTGGGAGTTCTGGTCACCCTGGGAGCAGGACGAGTCTTCCCAGTTGTCCAGCAGGTCACGGATGGCGAGTTTCAGGTCAGTGGTACAGCTGCCCCCAGCTGTACAGATGTTACTTGGGGTTAGTTAGGAGATTTCTCTGGTACCAGCCTGGTATCAGAACAGCAGCGCTCGTCCTTCCACAGCATCGCCAGCCCACGAGAGCAAAATCATAAGCTGGGTCTCCCCAAATCAGGACATTTTGCCCCAAAATTCTGAGTTTTGAGTTTTTCTTGAAAGACGCACAGGCTTGTGTGACAGTTACATGTATCAGGGAAGGGGATTTTATCCCTTGCTACAGGAGTCCTCACCCTGCCCCCATCCGCCCATCACCTGCCCAACACTTCATGCTACACCCCCATGCCCAAATCAACCCTGTCCTCTCAGGTCCCACATCACATCTGCCCCCACCTTTGCCTCTTGCATCGATTCTGTCTGTCCCCAGCCAACACATCGATTCAGCTCCCACACCAGCGCTGTGTCCAGGCCCTACCCAGTCCTGCCCACAGCTCCACATCTGCCCTGCTTCCCCGACCTCCCACCAGTTGTACCCCAACCATCCGTACTTCTGCTCCTCTGACAACTTCTGGGGATTGATTAATGCTCCCAGGCTGGGGGGCTGCAGCAAGATCCCCATCCCCCTCCTGTCTACTAAGATTTGGTGTTCCAGAGGGGAGGGGGAAGAGCAGAGGACCTGTCCTCTCCCTGTTGCTCACAGGACAGGAGGGGAAAGTAAAGCCGCGCTGAGCTGCTGGGCTCTTTAGGTCCTGCCTGTGTGCAGGGGAGCAGAGGGGGAGGGGCTCTGTTAGCTTCCCAAGGGCTGAACTTCCGGGGGGCTAGTGGAGGGTCTTACATCGCAGCAAGAGGCCTCCTGCCCCAGCTGACATGCCGCCCCTCATGCCGAATCATGACAGCTGTAGCCATTTTGCCATCATGGTGCTTCGTCTAGGAAGCGACTGTCCAGGAAGGAGTACGGCAGAAAGGGATCTCGCGCTCGTAGTGGACCACAAGCTAAATATGAATCAACAGTGTGATGCTGTTGAAAAAAATAGCAAACATGATTCTGGGATGCATGAACAGGTGTGTTGTGAGCAAGACACGAGAAGTCATTCTTCCGCTCTACTCTGCGCTGGTTAGGCCTCAGTTGGAGTATTGTGTCCAGTTCTGGGCACCGCATTTCAAGAAAGATGT